CTCTCATGTGGCGGGAAAATTCCATCGTGCCGAGGCACCAAAATCACTGGGTTGTGACAAGGAAAACAGACCTTACGATGATAGAATGAGAGCCCTGGGGCTCTTTAGCCTGGAAAACCGCAGGCTCAAGGGTGATCTGATGGCCACCTATAAGTTTATCAGGGGTGACCACCAGTATGTGGGGGAACGTTTGTTTACCAGAGCGCCCCAAGGGATGATGAGGTTGAACGGTTATAAACTACTGCAAGACCATTTCAGGCTGGTCATAAGGAAGAATTTCTTTACTGTGCGAGCCCCCAAGGTCTGGAACAGCCTGCCACCGGAGGTGGTTCAAGCATCTACATTGAACACCTTCAAGAGAAAATTGGATGCTTATCTTGCTGGGATCCTATGACCCCAGCTGACTTCCTGCCCTTTGGGCAGGGGGCTAGACTCGATGATCTTCCGAGGTCCCTTCCAGCCCTGATGTCTATAAAATCTATGGAACTGATTTCAGATTATATGAAATTATATACTTGGGCACACATCCTTGCATTTGGGTAGTTTGCAAGGGGAACACATGCCAAGGTTATCCTTGAAGCTATGAAACAGAGAAAATAAATCTGGGCCATGTACTTTAACATTATTTATCAAATGAGAGTTAGCTTAGTTATGTTATTTCTATGGAACTTTTCCTACAGAATGTTGTTATTCTTTAAAGATAATACTGGTAAAATTTATCTGTTAAAACTTTTTTTTTATGGAAAGTAGAAATTTCCTTCCCCCCAAATCCTCCTCTCTCCCCATTTATTTTCTATTTTAAGCTGAAAAATGTCAGGCTTTGCTATTGAAAAAGAATCCATTTTTGTTTTTTATTGGGGGAGAACTTAAAGTGATTACAAGAAAACCTTTGATGAAAACAAAACTCAGTATTTTTCATTTAAATTTTCACACTAGCTGTTATTTCCCAGATGGCTGTACTGCATGTTTAATCATTGTGGGGGAGGGAGGGGAGGAAATCCTGACTGCAGTAAAATCAATTGACGTTTGCCATTGATTTCAATAGGGCAAAGATTTTCTTCAAAAAGCTTGTCTCCACAGGCAAAAGTGAATTTGCCTGTGGGTTTCTATAGTTGAGATTTTTCTTTAGTTCAGAAATGTAATTATGGAATGAAACATGGTTTTTATGCACAGGGAATATTTAAAAATACAAAGTTCAAATTAAAATCCATACAGTCAGTAAAACAAAAATTAGGAGGGTCCATTATTTTTCAGTATTTTTTTTCCCCATAGGCCCTATTCTGTTTTGCACAAGTCAATGAGAGGATGCTCCTTGGCATAAATGTAGAGCCATGAAGAAATAAATTCTAACATCATACATTACTTAGGTTTCAAAACAGTTGACAACTTTCTTTTATAGAATTCCAAAGGACAGGTACACTCAGAACTATCAAACCCACATTTCGAAAGTTAGATCTTCAATCCATGTTTAAGCATGCAGATTACAGAGCAGTCTGATGGTCAGTACTGCCAAGAACCCCACAGCTCCCATGTGAGCATGTTGTAGAGTCCTCAGAAGGCTGTATTGGTTGCTGTCAGCTAACAGTTTCTTTCACTCAAGCTCCATCTATAGCTTAGTACATGATGCACTTGTCTAGTTAAGGTTGCCAGTGACAAAGTCTGCTTAAAAAAGGTCTGAGTTTGAACTGTAGCCAATGTAATAGCTAATTGGTGACTGCAAGAATTCACTGTTGTATATATTTTTTTATTTTTCAGCTAGAAACATTTCAGCCTTTTTTCATTTCCTTGAACCTTCCTTACTCTGTTACCAGAGGAGAACAGTTTATTTTGGAAATAAATATCTTCAATTACTTGAAAGAAGAGACCAAGGTAAACCCTCTTGTTGGCATTTTACCCTACCTTTCTGCTATGTATTGATCGTTGTGAGCCCTCCTAGACCCAAGAAAGGGTATTTTGTGCCTGAGAGCTTGTCTAACATTTCTCTCAATTATAGAGTTTGTTCATTAAATTATTCTCTCAGACAAATCTTGCTTCTTGTAGCTCTCCTAGAGTCAGTTCATATATGTATACTTGGTTATCACTCATATTTTTTGTTGTTGCAGTCATCAGAAATATCTCATTTCCTAAGGTAAAATCATTGCACAAATCAGTCAAAAGCACCTTGATTTATTTGTGCTTCATCTCAATGGTATTGGTGAGAAGTAGGATACGGGTTTGAATTGGATCTGAATTGGCATACATAGTGTTCCTAAGCCTTTCCAGTCGCTGTATGGCAGTTACTCTGAAACACTTGAGTGCTCTCATTAAGTTCAATGAATGGAGCTCAGGCTAGCGAACACATATTGAGATAAGCTCTAATATTTCACTTATTTTTTCTCAACTATGTTATTTGTCTCCTGACAGTTTCCTTCTCTTCCCTCTGATTTTTAGCTTCTACTCTGTTTTTCCCTGAAGATCTTTCTTCCTTTCCATTCTCCTGTGTTCTACTTATTTCATCCTTCTACTTGCTCCATGTTCCCTCTCTTTCCTCTTTGTCCATATTTTTATACTTCGATTCAGGAATGTTGCCAGACACTGCAAGGCTCCCAAAAGTAATTCTGAATACATCTCCTCAAAGTCTTTATTATTTCTTCAGTGAAGACATGGAAAAATCCAGACGTATTTTTATATATGCTCAGAAATCTACATCTTGTAAAACAACAGCCTTTAGGATTAACATCTGTTGCTAAAATATCACATTTTATTTTATTTTCATAGGTTACAGTGACCCTGGATATCAGTGATGTTTTTGAAATTCTTATAACATCCAATGAAATAAACGCTACAGGAAACCAACAGTCTGTGTTGGTACCAAGTGAAGATGGAAGAACTGTTAATTTCCCAATCAAACCAAAACGGCTGGGGGAGATCCCTATCAAAGTGACAGCAGTGTCACCCACTGCTTCTGATGCTGTTCTCCAGAAAGTTTTAGTGAAGGTAAATATTTAAAGACTTCATTCATTCCAAACTTTATAAAAAACAACTCAGAATGTTTCAGAAAGGCAAATCAATAGATGTTTCTCTTGTAAGTTTTTCAGAATTTTAGGAGAAAGCTTTCTTTTTAAAGAGACCTTTCCTCAAATTGCTTTAGATTTGCTTTTAAAAATAATAATAATGAAAAGCCCCATAGAACTCAGGTGTACAAATCCTTGATCACATGACACATTCCATTGGTAGAAGTGGGAGCTGCAGGACCAGGTGTGGGATGATACTGATACTTTATAATTTGTTCAGTGTCAGATAATTTTTTGACAAAAGCCTCTAATAAGTGAATTGTAATTGTAACATTTGGCTTGAGGTCAACAGATCTTTAACATGAAAAATTCTGTATTGTGGGAGTGGCATGAATCTATTCAAAACAAAGTACTGGGAGAATGTTAATATTGAAAACTAAGGTGCCATTATACTTACCAGCCCAGAACTGCTTCTCTCGGCTCTAGGGCTTTGCAGCTCAGCACCTTTTTCACATTTAACATCAGTCAGGACCCTCTTACTAGGCCTTCCCCCATACATAGTTTGGCATACATTAGAAAGGTGTAGTGGTGGTGGTGGTGTACTTCTTTTATACAATATCAGAGTGGGTCTAGGAGACCCTAGTTCAATTCTCATCACTACATTCAAGGATTTCTCACATCCTGAGACAGCATCCTAACCACTGCAGGCTTTTCTGGGGTGTGGACATGGTAAACCCTTCCAGCTGAATCTGTTCAACCTGTCAAAAAGAAACATCTATTGGATTATTAAGAGGGGAAGAGGGAGCATGATTCCCTCACTTAATGGTAAAGGGGGAAACTGGGTTCTGGTCCCGGCTTTGAGTTTGTGTGTTTTCTGATGACTTTTTAATGGAAAATGCACACACTTGAAGTATTTGCATAGATTCATCTTGCTTTGAACTAAATCCTCTCTGTATAGATAAGCCCATAGTGTTGCATATTATGTGATACCTTTGTCTTAGACTACTGTGATGAATGGACCTTATCCAGAGTCCACTGAGGTCAGTGAAAAGATTCTGACTTCACTAGACTTGATCAGGCTCTATATATTATTTTTCCTTATTAGAACCTCATCTTGATAGAACAGTTACTAAAGGCACATCTGTGGTTTTAAGCAAAAAATAAATATGTATCAGTTCAGACGCGCGAATATGCTACTTTTTGCTGTGTTAGCAAATAGTATGAAGCATAATGGTTTAGGTGTTTTGAATATAACACTTTATGAATTAGCATGATAAAAAACCTAAACACAACAAATAAAATACTGGAGATGAAAATAATTATCTTTGTTTATATTGATAGGCTGAGGGCCTTGAACAGTCCTACTCACAGGCAGTTCTCTTGGATTTGACTGGGAATGATCCAAAAACTATATCAAAAACTCTGCATTTCAACTTTCCTTCTGATGTAGTAAGTGGCAGTGAAAGAGTTCAAGTCACTGCTATTGGTAAGAATTATTTTATCCTATTTATATTGTCATTATCTTTTGGGAAGCAATCTTGTCTCTTTCACAGACAGTAATCTATGAAATATAAAGCTGAGTGTTTCAATTTGTGCTGAGCTTCCATAGCCTCCAATATAAGGCTTGGAGTTACAATGTGCCATTACGACTTCCCTTAAGAAATGAGTTTGGTCATTTCCCAAACAGGATTAGTTCAACAGACTTTCAGAGGCCTTGGAAGAGGCTTTCTGAATAGTAGTCCATTAGAGATCTTCCTAGCAATATTTAACACTGTGAAGTTGCTGGTTTGTATGTTGACTCTGCCTTTATATTCATGTTGGCTTAATTATAATATTAGAATAAAGGCACTGGAACTTGAAGAGGATTGTGTCTGGATATTATAGTATTGAAAAGTCTAATTTTAAAAATGATATCACCATATATGCACATGTATAAGCATTGAACTTTAATTTTATCTTTTAGGTGATATCCTTGGGCCTTCTATCAATGGTTTGGAGTCTCTGATTAAGATGCCTTATGGCTGTGGTGAACAGAACATGATTAACTTTGCTCCTAATATTTATGTGTTGGAATATCTGACTAAGACAAGGCAATTAAAGGAGGATATTAAATCAAAGGCTATATCTTTTATGAGAGAAGGTCTGTACACTTTCAGAAAAGGTCCTAGTTTAAAAAAAATTTACTAGCAGAAAATATCTTATTTGTGGCTCTGCATTTGGAATCTGAATTAGCATTCAGTTTAAGGTTATTCAGTTTATGGCATTTTTCTGTAGTGATTTTGGTTCTCTATTCATCCCAAAAGCAAGGTGTGCTGAGTATGAAGATGCCATTTCTAGATAGTTATTTTTTCAGACTAAAGCCATACTGTAAAAGGAGATCTATATTATCACTCTTGAAACTGATTATTCTCTTGCTTGATTAAAATGAAGGTCTGGGCATTTTTGACTGCTCCTTGGATTATAAAGGGTACAAGTTAGGCCATGTATAGATGTTCAGTTTCTACTGGGAGAATTGCTTTTCTCCTGTTAGAAATCAAATGTGCAGATACTTGAGCTTTTTCTTGTGCCTGGTCTGGGAGAAAAATAACCTGGCAATAGGCAGGTACAAATCACTCCCAGGAGAGTTTCTCTTTGGAGATTGAATGTCTGCACACTTTCCTTGGGTTTAACTCCCCCTGGGGATGAAGAGGATTGGAGCTGGGGGAAAGGATCCTGCGCCTTCCAGAGACTGAGGTCACCCCAGTTTGGAGAAGGCATAGACTAAGAGGGAAGGGGAGGAGCAGCTGCCAACTGCTTTCTGCCTGCTTCTCAATGGAGTTTGAGAAGCTGGCAGGGGCATTACTGTCCTGCTTCAGCTGCTCTGCTTGGCTGCTGGGCATGGGGAGTTGTGCTCGGAGTGGCACTGCCCCCCACCTGTTTCCCTTTGCTCCCCCTTGCCCATCCCCACTGCTCAGCTGGGCAGCAAGGATGGCAATTTAAAAGCCTGTGGCTGGTAGCTTGGCTTGGAGAAAGCCTCCTGAGCCTGTTTCACAGTCCAGCTGGCTTCCCTTTGCCTTCCATGCCACTTGGCTGAGCAGCGGGAGCTGAGACTTAAAAGCCTTCAAGGAGAAGGTGGCCACATCAGGAACAAGGCTTATGGAGGCACTCTCTAGAAGAGTGGGGTAAAACCGCTTCCTGCTTCTCACACTGGAGTCCCAGGTGTGTGGAGTCCCAGTGTTGGGTACTTTGCCTTGGGGTTCAGTGCACTGGGCCCCAGGACTTGAGCAGAGGGAACTCCTGCCTGCTTCTCACACCAGTCTCTGGTGTGAGCTAGGGCCAGTGGGCTTTGCCCTGCTGCTTCAAGTCCCCTGGGAACGAGATGACCAGAGCAGCCCACACTTTCCCCAGACCAGGCTCACCCTGGTGTGGAGAGGGCACAAGGAGCAGGGGAAAGGGGGCAGTTGCAAGTAGTAATTTTCCATTACTAGAAATGAACATTTATACAGATGCTTCTTCAGCTGATTAAGGGTGCTTGTGCCCAAAAGCTTGCTAAGAAGAACTTTTCAAATATTTAAGTTGGTCTAATAAAAGATACCAGATTTACCCAAATAACCTTGTCTGCTTGAAAATGAAACACATTTAAACAATTTTCAGCAACAATTTTCAAGGGAAAAAAAAATCATTTTTGAGTAAAAAAAATTAAAAACAAACATTTCCGAGGAAAACCAAAAGTTCCGATTTGAAAATTTGGAGGTGCATTATGAACTTTATGTACTGCATGCTCCCATTCTGCTCTATGGGCCTGACTACATATCTGGTGACACAGGTTTCCTTCTTGCTGAGCCTGCATAATATATTTTAGGAGATCCTGAACCATAAAGGAAACTGGGCAAAATACATAAACTGCAACTGCCATGAGAGACTATGGTAACATTTCCAAATAGAATATTTTTTCTGCTTTTCTTCTGAAATGTTTTGGTTTTACCATGTTCAGTATTTCAACAAGGAGTCAAAATTTTCCATTGAAAGCACTCTTTTAATAATAGATTTTCTTTTTTTCACTCAAAAATGGTAAGATGGAATATTTTCAACCAGTCATACAGTATGGCTGCAAAATAAAAAGAAAATCAAAACAAAACAACGATGTTTGTAATTTTAACCATTACTCTGAAAGTAATCTGTTACTCTTTGAAGCCTGAGTTATGCAGCCACAATTTTCTGAAGTTATCCAAAAAAACACTTTCATTAAGTTATTCTTAAATGAGTCACAATTGAAATATTAAATATGTCACTTAGAGAAAATGCATTGTTTTATTTAACTCGTGTTAGATTTTAGATTAGAACAGCATTCTTTAAGACTGTGTTATGGCTAAAGCAGTAAAGATTTTGAAACAAGTTTAATTTTAAGAAAGAAAAATCAACAACTTTAAAATGCAAATGTTCAGGCCTTTTGTTTCATGCTTTCAGTTGTTTCCCACTCAACAATTAATTTTTTTGGTTTAGAATTGTTGTTTTTTTAATTGCTAACTATCATGCCATATTTTAAAGTTGACATTTAGCTCTGGTTTAGTTGTGTAATACAGTCTCTTAAAAATTCAGTTTAAAAAGAAAGTCATACAGTTTAATTCACAACAGATTTTATTTCAGATAACTGAATGAGAATGCAGTAAAAATGCATCTTTAAAAAATAATCTTCACTGACTGCTTGGGAATGAAAAGATCCATAAAGCTGCCAGAGTTGCTTTTTTTTAACTTAATTGTATTTAACTAAAACAAAGCACAGTGAAAGTTGCCTTTTAAATTTTGCTTTCAGTCATGGGATTTAAAGTGACTATCTTGGAATTTCAGTTTCTGAGAGAAAAAGCTAAGTTATTCTCAAAAATGTGATCACAAATTTAAAATAGAACTAGGCTGGCAATCAGGTAAAGCTGTCTTAAGATGCCTCCAGTCAGCCATGTATTGTCAAAGTTTTGCACTGCTTAATCTTAAAATCTGGACCCTCTCCTGTTTCTTTACTTCCATCTTAAACATTAGTATCATACACTGGACACAGAACTGCAAGTGAAGCTGAACTAGCACTGCAGAGACTAAAACTATAATTTCATATGTCTTGCATTTAATACTTCTATTAATTCACCAGAAATCTGCATTGATTTTTATTAAGACTACGTTTGATAACAGGGAGTTAAAGCCTTGCATCTCAACCTTGGTAGATAGATCCTTCATGTTACTCCAACCTACTTTTTGCAACATCTCTCTCCCATTTGCTTCTGCATATTTGGCAGAAATACTGTGAAACTTGACATTAAGTTCTGCTGCTCTTCATTCTCCAGTATTAGAAAACTTTTTCTCATGTTTTCCAAAGGACACTATAGTTTGCGTCCTCTTCAGAATAATTCATACAATACTTGACTTTTACTTTTGTCCCTTCAGGATACCAAAGAGAGCTTCTCTACCAAAGAGATGATGGCTCTTTCAGTGCCTTTGGAAACAGTGACTCCTCTGGGAGCACTTGGTAAGTTTTGCCAGATAAAAGAAGCTAGTCACTTTGGAATTTTATAAATTGTTTGAATGTTTTACTGGGCTGAAATCTGTGTTAAACTGGTAAAAATGTCCAGATATACTAGCTTGCTGTCTGGTTTTCATTAGATGTGTAGGTCAACTTCTAAGGGTGTTTAAAAAATCATTATTAAAGTAACACTTTTTTACCCTTGCAAAAGAATGAGTGCTGAGTCAGTTTTCACCAGGGAAGAAACTGAATAAAATAATTAGAGGCAATATTAGTATCTAAGAGAATGGTTCACCAGACAGAAAGCATTTAAAACATTTTTTCTAGAGAAGCTAATGGATACACTGTAGATTTGGCTTCTTCATATATCATAAAGGGTGGGATTTGGTGCTGTGGGCTTTACAAGCATAGCACAATAAGTCAGAACTCCAGCTTGTAACCCACCATGATGTCCTTTCAAGTCCACGCTGCTTATGGGCTGAAGTAGCCACCAACATAATTTACAACAGCTCCCTAAATTATGACAACTTTTTGATTACCCATAGCTGCCCAGAAGGACTGTAGTTTACATTTGTTACTTTTCCTTATATAGGGTTAGTGAGGGACACTAGAGTTAATTTACAGAGTGCCTGGGTTTGGGGATTCTTGGAGCTCCCTGTATCTTCTTGGAATAGTGTATGAGGTCTGTATCAGGAAGGAGATACCTTCCCAAATGCTATGTAGTTAAGAAGGGGTATAGGTTGTAGCTGTGTTTGTCTAAGGACATAGGCAGACAAGGATGATTTGATGAGGTTATAAGAAGGTTTGAATGTTGTTCTGAAGATGCACAATAGGGGAACTCATCAATCGTACAGCTGTCCAAATGCATATATGGTGTTTTCATCATCATAGTTCTGAACAACTTTTTCATCTTTTCACACCAAAGGCTGAGAACTTGTCCACTGCATTGCACATGTGCCAAGCAGAGCCTCTGGGTGTGACATTTTTGTCCTTGCACAGGGGGCCAACTATATCCCTTCAAGCATCCTTCTTGCCTCTTATCTTGAGGTGTTATGTGGAATAAAAGTTGCATCTGAGGTTTTATTCTGGTTTTCTGCATCCTCAAAGACTGTTTAACCCACATGCAATGAAAAGCTCTGTACTATACTGATGGTTTTCCAGATAGACAGATAGGTGATGGTCTACTCTGGGTGAGGGGGCCTTAGAACCTAGATGTGTTCCCTAGTCACTTAACTATTGGAGCTCAAACATAGGAAAACTACTGTCCTCCCATGGCAGTTGCAGTTTATGTACTTTGCCCAGTTTCCTTTATGGTTCAGGATCTCCTAAAATATATTGTGCAGGCTCAGCAAGAAGGAAACCTGTGATCATCTAATGTTCACCAGTCATGGGTTTTTGTCCACCTTCAATGTTGTGAGTTATGCATGTACATTGGCTGCCTGCCCAGTGTGTAGTCTACTGTATGTATGCAATATATGTACATCTATGCTGCCTCATTAATAGAACTGCAGACAGTGTGTAAGTGCTTAAAAAGCCCATTAAATGGCTGAAAACTACCATTTAGATGTACACTGGACACATCTACATGTGAAATTAGTGTGCCTGAACAAACTATGACACAGTTCACACTGGAGTTTATTACTTCTGGGTGCAACGTTTATATGTGCACTTGGGATCACAGCACATTGAGCCTGGGTGGCATGGCCCTGGCTGATAGGGAACTGGGGGATCTGTGAAGGGGCTAGCTGGGGAATGAGGGTGCTACAATGCAGGGCAGCCCCCACTGCAGTGCAGTGGACAGTCAGCAGGCAGCCCCCACACTGTAGCACTCTCGTGCCCCAGCCAGCCCCGGTCTACATGCGTGTTACAGCAGAGTAAATAATTCCGCTGTAGGATAGTACGTGTGTCAGGCAGTACTGTCCTATGGCAAAGTTAATTAGCTTACTCCTGCCTTATAGCACTGCACTTATAGACAGTGACACTTTACTGTGGAGCTAATTAGTCAAATGATTGACTAAAGTGTCTTGCGTAGATGCTCTGACTGGGTAACAGTGACCCACACAGACCACTTGAAGCTGCTCAGCTAATTAATCCATATTTAACCAGCTTTAGTGTACTTGCTTTTTTATGTGTAGTTTTTGAAGCTTAACAGAAGAGTTCAAATTATTGGCTTTATCCAAAGTCCTCTTAAGTCAGTCACAATTTTCATTGACTACACGGGGATTTAGAATACATCTGGCATTGATGAACTGGAGAAAATCAGATTCTTAGCCTGACGCTGCCAAGACTTTGAGGTCTGTTAGATAAGTATTGTAATATTAGACCCTATGAAGGGGTCAGAATGAACCTTCAGAATATAAACAGTTCCGGCAGAAAGGGTTGTTTTGATAATGTGGTTATATGGAAAGGCATCTTCTTAAAATCATATTCATTATTTTGTTACTTCATGCATTATGGGTAGTCTTGACAACCTAAAGCTTGACAAACTAAATCTCTGATCTTTCAAAAGGCATACAGATGCATTTAATTTATGAGCAACATGTGAATAAAGAAATGCATGTTTTGACATATAAATCATATGTAGTTTTGAAATGGTAAAGTTTTAAAAAGCACAGTTCTATGGACAAAATATTCAAAAAGAGCATAGTTTTAAGGACAAAAAAGTTCACTTTATTTTCTTGCTGATTAACTTTAGACTGTTTACTCTTCAAGACAGGGTTTGTTTTATTCTGTGTCTGGAAATCATCTAACACATTGGACACAACTGCATTTTGAATAATACTCGAATCTAAAACAAAGTGTTTCCCCCCATTCAGCTGGGGGAAAAAAGCCCCTTGTCTTAGATTTACATGCAAAGTAGAGGTGGGCGGGTAGCTCCTCTGACTCTGGCCCTGAGCCCAGGTTGGGGCCAGAGTCAGACCCAGTACAGAACCCCTCTGCTTGCCCTCTGACCCCCTTGCTTCTTCCCTGCTGCTGCCTTCTTCCCCCCTTAACTATCAGGTGCAGCTTGGCTCAGGCTGAGGACAGAATACATGAAAACTCTGTCCCCTAAATGGCCAGTCAGCAGCACTGTATGGCTGGCAGGGGCTGCACTTCCACTTGCTGTGCTCTGGGAAGGAACAGAGCCTGGGCAATGTCTGACTGTAAGGGCAGGGAAGGGGAAGAGGCAGAGACTGGAGAGTGGTGGTTGTGGGGGAAGGGGCAGAGATTGTGGGGAGTGGGAGAGGAGGGGCAGAGGCTGTGGGGAGCTGGGGGTGAGGGATGCTGGTGGGGGGGGCAGGAAGGCTGTAAAGGAAAGAAGTGGGGGACAGAGGACAAGGGGGAGAGTGGTAGAAGTGGGTATTGCTTTCCTTCATATGGCAGGGGGAGGGGGATGAATTCAAGACAACCCTCCAATAATTAGATTCTGTACCTGGAAAATTATTTAAAAATATGTATTTTCCAGGTATAGAATCTAATTATGAGGGGTCATCTTAAATTCAGGGTTGACTTACATTCGTGTACATACAGTAAATGGGTTGAAATATAGCAAATCATTAATGTTTTGCATTTGTCTAACCCTTTCCCAAAGGTTATCGGCTTTTGTATTAAGATGCTTCATTCAAGCTCGCCCATTCATAGATATTGATCCTTATGTGCTGACGAGAACAGCTGCTTGGATTGTCAAACATCAGAAACATAATGGTGAATTCACGGAGCCTGGAAAAGTGATACACAGTGGACTTCAAGGAGGGAGTAACAGTCTAGTAACTCTTACTGCTTATGTTGTGACAACCCTATTAGGCTATGAAAATGATGAGGTATTAAAATTAATTAATATTGCATGTAGCTAATAAAATATTTCATGTGCTATCACAAGAATCCTTGATCATTTTGAAGTTTTTAAGGAACTGAGGACTAATTAACAAAATGAGATCATTCAATTTTATCGTTAATAATAGATTACCCTTCCAAAAACTTAACACAGTTGGTTATTCCATCGTGTGAGATTTCAGGTTTAGACCTGAGATCCTAATAAAGCACTTAAGCATGTATATAACTTTAAGGATGGTGAGCAGTCCCATTAACTTCAATAGAATTATTCAAATACTTCAAGTACTTGATTGCATTGAAGCCTTTACTTCTGGTATACAAGTGTGTGATTTTTGACAGAAAATGTCTATATTTTTTTTTTATTCTGAGGTAAAATATGTCATTATAATATTCTGTTATAATTACAATATTCCATTATAATTATAATATGATTCTAATACTATTTAAAGTAATATTTCCAGGTAATATAAAATATTGCAAACATAACACATTTCTTTTATAATATTATTATATGACAATTGCAATATATTAATATTATCATATATTTATACTGTTCCTTTATACTATGCCTCTATCATTTTTTTCTTATAAACTGTCAATGCTGCTGTTGCCCCTGTTGTTTCTTTTGTAAAATTTATTTATTTATGATAGATTTAAATTAATTTGATTCAATACATTCTTTATTCTCAGTTTGCTGTAGTGATCAAAGAAGCTACAAGCTTTCTGGAAGCTAAGTTAGAAGAAGGAATTTCTGATAACTACACTCTGACCCTAGTGACATATGCATTGTCTTTGGCAAACAGTATGAAAGCAAAGAAAGCCCTGAACATACTAAATCAGAAATCAGAACAGCAAGGTATTGTAAGATGTTTTATTACTATAGTTTGAATAGATTTTCCTCAAAATAGAAAAACAAAAGAAAACACCTTTTGGCTAAGTCCAGAGAACCTATATAGTATATAGGTTCTTTTGAGAACCTATACTAGCAAATTGCCCATCAAGAATGAAAGGGGGGGCAGGTGGGGACAGAGCGCCAATACCCACCACCCTGCACTGCTGCTGCCTCCCAGGGGTGGGGGTGGGGAAGCTTGCCTTGCTGTCCCCTCCATCCCACTCTGCCAGCACCCCGCATTGTCGCCACCTCCAGCGCCTCTGGCCTCGCCCCCCCAGCTCCATCCCCCCATCCCCACTGTCATGGCGGTGCTCCATATTCCAACTGGTTGTTTCACTAACCAATCAGAGTGCTCCAAGAGCATTATGGACAGACAGACAAACAGACAGACAGTCTAAACCCTTTATTATATAAGAATAGTAGAACACCAAAGGGAAAGCTCAGTGAAAACTATATTTAAGTGAACTGTTTGTATTGAAGTTGGATTTCCAAGCTTAATTGCTATATTCACTGATGGGGATATTACAATATTATTGCAAAGCATTGGCTTGCCACTTTCCCACACTGTTGTGTATGCCAGTCAAATCTGATTAAACAAGGTCAGAGCAGGTCAATTGCTCAGACAGCATATCTCAAAGCAGTGCTTAAGAGCTTAGCAAAATGGTGTGGGTGATTAATTCAAATCAGTGTCAGGAAGAAGAAAAGAAGGAAAGGGCTTTAAATAAAAGGATTCACTAAATTTTCTTTGTCACTTGTAATTCCACAAGATGATCTTTTAGAGTTAAAATGAAATGCAAGTCTGTCCATGAATGGTTGTCTACGTTTTCCTGCATGTTTTGGGGAAGAAGAGAAAAATAAATATAGTTTTTTGGTTACAAATGTTCAGTATCCAACCGAGTAATCTTTGTTAATACATTTTTATTGGATAGGGTTCAGTTACTGTAAGTTTGATCCTGATGAATGATATGCATGTACCTGTAATTCTCATGTAAGAGCCAAAGATTTCTTAGAGTGATATCTTTCTTGGCATGATCCAAAGTCCATCAAAATCAATTGGAGTCATTACATTGAGGCCAGTGGTTTTTGTGTCAGACATCAGCCCCAGCTCAGTAGAGCATATTAAACACATTCTTAGGACAGTCATTAACCAGCAAAACACTTAAACACATGCTTAATTTTATCTAGGGTCTAAAGTGCCTTGCTACGTCCCTTTGGTAAAGATAAATCAGCAGGTTTTCTTATGTTACTTCTGCCTTTGGAGCTCACATAGTGATGATCTTTTTTCAGGAGAAATTCGATTCTGGACGACACCAGCTCCTGAACTTTCTGACTCATGGCAACCACGGTCTGTTGACATTGAACTTGCAGCCTATGCTTTGCTGTCTCACTTTCAGCAAGATAGATTAGCAGAGGGGATTCCTATAATGAAATGGTTAAGCCAGCAACGAAATCACCTTGGAGGTTATTCATCTACTCAGGTTAGATAAACGTTACTAGAAGCTCTGTTATGTACAGATAGACTTTCCAAACAGGCACTTCACCTTTCAAATAATAGCGTTATTTTCCTATAACGAATATTAAAAATGTATTATTCTATAACATATTGTCCTAATCAAGCATATGCCAACACTGTTTGCTGGATTGGGATCTTAATCTGTTTAATGTAAAAAACCCATCATTTTAAAAATTAATTAAAAATAACAACAGAAAAAGAGGAGCAATACAGTTATTTTAGACAGAGAAAATACTGAAAAGAACTGAAAATGAGAAAATTAAGTGATCTTAAACCTGCATTTTTTGTGCATGTTTATGTCCTGTCATTGATACAAATTGTTTTATTAAATTATTACACATTATGCTGTATTATGCATATTATAGCGTCATGGTACTCTGTTGTAGTGTATTTTTTTAGGTTTTTCTTTTTTTGTACTTTCCTGTCTTACAGTGTTGTTATAAAGGTGAACTAATAAAGTATTAGGACCATCAGATGGAAGGTGCTTAATAAAAGCAAGGTGTTCTTACTGGCCCAGGTTAGGCTTGCTACTGAGAAAATCATAGGAAAAAACAGCGAGAAACTCGTGTAGCAAACCCCTTCCTCCTCCTAGCTGAAAACTGCTTCTAAACTTAGATGTGCTATTTTGCCTTTTCAGTCATGCACTTGCGCAGTATAGGAGAATTTGCATATATGCAAGAGCAGGTACACAGAAATTCTGTATTTTGTGTGTCAGGTGATGGCACACAATTCTGAGAGTAAACGTAGAAAAGGGATTGGATCTCTTGTAAAAAGCTGACCATGAGACCACTAGGAAATTATTTTTGATGTATTTTTCTTCATATCTACAGTTCTCACTGCTATAGTTTTTGTTTCTGTGACTGAACAGCTGCGGAATCTGCTGTTGAATGCCTGATACTTATCTTTGTTTCTGGCTAGTGCACATTTAAGGCCCATTGTGGCTTTTTAGCTTGTCTTTTTTTAACTTGTCCTTCCTGTTGGTTGACAGATTGTATAGAGTGTGAGCCCAGCTTCACAATCTACAGACTTGCATGACATCTAAAAAGAAAATTCAAGCTGTAGTCCAGATACGGTTAAAAGAAAGTCCTAATATTAGGAACATTGCACTGGAAGAGATCAACTGCTGGTACTATGTGATTACAGGCAGCCATATAATGTTAACTCCAAAACTGTCCATAAAACTGTGTTTGTTTCAATGTGTTCCCTCTCCTTACTATGATGGGAACAAATCTTTCTGATGGAGCTATGATGTCAGGGAAGGTGGAGGAGATGCACAGAAGCTTTTGTATATATACTTGTGGCATATAGGAGTCTCAGTGACTATGACAGAATGATGTTGTAACTGTGGAGCTTTGGCCCACAGCATACAGCCATATATAGGTATTACTTATATCTTATTGTATGTTGGGAGGTGACTGTAGTAATATTCCAGCAAAAGTGACAGGTGAACAGTAGAAATCATACATTAAAGGTTAAGAAGCCCAACTATCTAAGGTCTTCCTTCCACATAAACATTTAACCAGTGTAATTGGTTAGAAACGTATTTCTTAAATATATTTAGATTCCTTATGGGGACACTCATAAATCAGGTTTAGTGTGTTCATACTAAGAAGTTATACTGATTTAACTAAATTGCAGAACCAATGTAATTAAAGTGATACAGCTTGTATGTGTAGCCAAAATTTAACAGATATTGGCAGCTGTCTAGTTTGTAGGCTTTCATATTTACTGTAGAAGCATTTGTTTCTCTTAACAGGACACAGTAGTTGCCCTGCAAGCCTTGAGTTCATTTGCAGTTCTTACTACTACCAGTAAAACGGAAATTAGTGTAACAGTGACTGGACCAAATCTGGAAGCTCTGGCAGAATTTTCAGTTGATACTCAAAACCGGTTTCTTCTTCAGACCAAAGAGGTACTGTTGGAAAACTTTGAAACAATCCTGTCCTGTTAATATATTTGGAACATGTTTAATTTATCTTGTCTATCTTTTAGATTGCATCTATGCAACCAGTGGTAGTTACAGTGTCAGCAGAAGGTACTGGATTTGCCATTTTTCAGGTAGGCAGCAATGTTTTGTACTGTTTTGAAGCTCTCTTTTTAAACATCTTTGAAAAAAGAATATTTGAATAGGAAACTTAAGACACTAGGTCAATAAGAAGCTATGTGGCACCTTGTTTGAATCCCAAAGCAATGCACTAATTACAAAGCTTGTATGGGTAAAATGCTTGAAAACATGCACCATGCACAATCACCAAGGTCAATGTGACTGCATAGGGCAGAAATTACTGTATATTATGCCATCACTGCGTTCTGTTTTGTTGTAGTGTAGAACTTTTTTAGGCTTTCTAGAGTGCCTTTCTCACCTGTGAAGTTCTAAGTATTTAAATAGCATAGGCCATGACCTGGTGTTCATGTCTAACAGTGAAAATTTCTGAGAAATTTCCATCAGTCGAAATCTTCCCAGGAGAGGGAGCTCACAAGCCACCCTCCACTTCCCTATCCTCCACCTTTTCATCAGACTGGGGCAGTCCTGGTCTGGGGAGGGCATGGGAAGCAGTGGTTGCTCCACTCCTTCCAGTCCTTGGGGGGATAGAATGGCAAAGAAAGACTCCCCATGCCTTCTCCAGATCAATGTCTGGGGAGCGGGCAGTGAGCAGCTTCCTCCATTCTGTGTCCAGTCACCAAAAGTGGAATGAAGGGAGCAGCGGGGCAAAGTCCTCAGCCCCTTCTCCAAGCTGGGTAGATCTCAATTTGGAGAAGAGGCAGGGAGCAGTGGGGGCTGCTTCCCTCTGTTGCTTCATTCCCCTCCTGTGCAGAGTGGGAAGGGAGTGTATAAACAGTCACTTTTGCAAGAGATTTTCTTTCTCAAAGGAGTTCTTCCAAGTTGACACCTGGAAGATACTTCTCCCATAAGGGATGTGTTTCCCCTGGGAGAAACTGAGTGAATGCTTATATGCTCATAGTTTCTACTAGGAAAGCATAGTTGAAGGCTGCTATTAAATCCCTCCTCAGTCTTCTCTTCACTAGACTAAAGAAGACCAGTTCCCTCAGTCTTTACTCATAAGTTATGTCCCTCAACCCCTCACCTTTTTTGCTGCCCTCCGCTGAACTCTCTATAATTTGTCCACATCCCTTCTGTAGTGGGTCCGCCCAAAACAGTACTCCAGATGTGGCCTCACTAGTGCTGAGTAGAGGGGAATAATCACTTCCCTTGACCTACTGGCAACACACCTGCCAATGCAGCCCAGGATGCTGTTAGCCTTCTTGGCAACAAGGGCTCATATTGCTGGCTCATATTCAGCTTATTGTCCACTGTAACCCCCAGGTCCTTTACTGCAGAGCTGCTGATCAGCCAGTCAGCCCCCAGGCTGTACTGGTGCTGGGATTGTTTCCATAGCAACATAGGGATAAAACTCATTCTTTTTTATTTGAAAGAATATAGAAATCTATATAAGTTACAGTGTGCTACTAGTATAGGTAGTAGATGGTAACTGACGTTATAATCTGTTTTACTACAAAACTAGGAACAGCTCCTATTCTTTTGAGTGACACTTGGGAAAATTGAGCTTAATTGATCCTGCAGGTCTGCTAGTTTTAAGTCAGATCAGATTCCAACTTGAGTTTCTTACATGCTGTTTGACTTTAATTTCAGCATCCTTATATATCTGTAAGAGAAAGAAAAATGGTTTATCTTTTAAAATCATGGGATCATATGTGTGGAAGGGAGATCAAGAGTCATAGTTTCATAGTTGGTAGGGTCAGAAGGGACCCGAGCAGATCATCAAGTCCGACCCCCTGCCGTGGCAGGAAAGAATGCTGGGGTCAAACGACCCCGGCACCGTGTTCATCCAGCCTCCTTTTAAAGACCCCCAGGGAAGGAGCCAGCACCACTTCTCTTGGAAGTTGGTTCCAGATCCTAGCTGCCCTGACAGTGAAGTCACGCCTCCTGATATCTAGCCTGAATCTACCCTCTGCCATCTTTTGACCATTATTTCTTGTCACTCCTGGTAGCGCTCGGGGAAACAGGGACTCTCCTAATGCCTGCTGGTCCCCCCTGACCAGTTTGTAAATGACCACTAGATACCCCCTCAGCCTTCTTTTGTGGAGGCTGAACAGGTTCAGGTCCCGTAGCCTCTCTTCATAGGGCCTGCCCTGCTGACTCCTGATCATGCGAATGGCCCTCCTCTGGACCCTCTCCATGTTGTCCACATCCCTCCTGAAGTGTGGTGCCCAGAACTGAACGCAGTACTCCAACTGCAGCCTGACCAGTGTCACGTGGAGGGGGAGGATCACCTTCTTGGACCTGCTCGAGATGCATCTTTGGATGCATGACAAGGTACGGTTGGCCTTCCTGACCCCACACTGTCGGCCCATGTTTATTTTGGCATCAATAATGACTCCAAGATTCGTTTTTGCCCCTGCAGTGATGAGAAGGGAGTTCCCCAGCCTGTAGGTATGCTGCTGGTTCTTCCTCCCCAGGTGCAGTACCTTGCACTTGTCAGTGTTGAACCCCATCCTGTTCTCATCCACCCACCCCTGTAACCTGTCCAGGTCCGATTGCAGCCTATTCCTCCCTTCTAGCATGCCCACTTCTCCCCACATCTTAGTGTCATCTGCAAATTTGAACAGGGTGCTTTTTACCCCCTCGTCCAAGTCACTGATGAAGATGTTGAACAGTGCGGGCCCGAGGACTGAGCCCTGTGGAACCCCACTGCCCACATCCCTCCAGGTCAAATAAGACCTGTCCACCACCACTGTCTGGGCCCAGTCAGCTTGGCCCACCACTGCACAAATGCAGGAAAGCTATTTTTAAAGTATCCCTGCTCATAGTTTATCCAGCCACCTCTTGAAAACCCCCAGTGAAGGAGATTTCACAACTTTCTTGGCAGTCTGTTCCACTGCAGTACTGATATAACAATAAGGACATTTCCCCTGATATCTAATATAAATCTACTATGATGAAAATTTACAGCCATTACTTCATGTCCCAACCTCTGCAGCAAGGAACAATAGTTGTTCTCCTTCTTTATGGCAGCCTTTCAAATATTTGTAGACTGCTATTGTGTCTCCCTAATCATCTTTGCTCCAAGCCATAACATGCCTACTTTTTCTCAACCGCTCCTCGTACGGCTTGCCTTCCAAATCCTTCACTGTTTTTGCTGCTTGCCTTTGGATTCTCTCTAACTTCTTCACACCCTTCTCAAAGTATGGCCGAGGAATCCTTTTTTGTTTTGTTTTACCAGACCAGCCATTTTTGGTCCTCCAGAAACTGTGATCTTTGTCTACCTAGGGTTTCTACCTGGGGAACTGCAACTGCAACGTAGAAGTATAATGCTTGTACATACTCCTAACCACCGCTGAGTAAGGACACTTCCTTTCTCTTACACCTAGTACCCCTGTAGATTCAACCCCAAATTGCATTTGCTATTTATTTTTATTTTTTATGAATGAGTCATCCTGACTCAGGTTTAGTCTGTGATCCACTAATACTCTTAAATCTTTGGCTACCACTCAGCCAGTCATCTCCTATTCTGTATTTGTAGTTTTAATTATTTTTCCCTGGGTGTAGCATCTTACATTTGTCTGTGCTGAACTTCACTCTGTTGTTTCTAGCCCAACTTTCTAATCTATCAAGATCCTTCCGAATTCTACTTGTATTCCAAAGTGTTTGCAGTCCTTCCCAGTTTCATGTCATCTTCAGACCCCACCAGGAGGTACCCAAAATCATTAATAAACATGTTAAATGGTACTGGACCCAGTATAGACCCCTGTGGAATCACACTCAAAACATCCTGTCATTCTGACATCAATCCATTTATAATTGTGTTTTACTGGGTGCATCTACACATGCACTTTATTACAGAGTAGCCTAATTATCTCTGTAGTAAAGTATCATGGTCTACACGTGCTGTGGTATCAATAAGTAAATTAATTAACTCTGTCATAGGATAATGCTGTCGGGGACAGTACAGCAAAGTAAATGTGATGAAATGCACATGTAGATGGTGATGGGCTGGCTTTGGTACAAGGGTGCTAAAGTGCAGAGGCTGCCTATCACCTAGCTACATGGCTCTGCACTCTCAGCACCCTCATGCCCTAGCTAGCTCCTCTGGTGTCCGACATCATCACCTGGAGCCTGGGGCTGCTCCCCCATTCCCTCCTGCCAGCCTGGGGCTGATCTGCCCCAGCTCAAAGTGCTGCTGTCCTGGGTGCACTTGTAGATGCTACATCTGGGAGCAGTTGACTCTGGCTCAAACAGGTCCAGAGTTTATTGTGTTACATTAATTTTACATGCATATATACCCACCTGTAATTATTTAGCAAATTATCTATTAACTTGTAGTAATTTTATTTAGCCCACAATGATAAATATAGAGCTAGATAAAACATTTTCAGAAACAAACTTGGACAACTGACTATTAAGAATATACATTATTCAATCAACAGCAGGCTGCAAAGTACCATAAATCACTGGCCTTGTTTATGTGTCTCCATAAATGCTGATTCTGTTTACAGCAAATTTCAAATATGCTAGAGGATACATTTAGATGTGATACTGAAGGCCAAAATAGAAATGAATGGCTCATCAGAGCAGTCTTTGCTCATCCATCATATCAAATGAAAGGAGTTTAGGAGGGATGATTTTGCAATAAAATTAAACTCCTTAACTCAGGGACAGCAAAGATGCAGCCCACGGTGGATCTAGCCCATGGAGCCATATTATTTAACCCTTGGTGCTAGCCCTGGATCTTGAGTGGGCCTACACATGGCATGTGAAGGACTGGCCTCAAGTGCATGGCTTGTGACACGCCACATGCAACACCTGCTGTGGGATCTATACTGCATGCGGCACCTGCATGGGGTCCAATCTAAAATCCCTCGCTGCATGCTGGATTCAGCATGTACTCTGGTCTGGGATGTGAGCTGCATGTGGTGGCTGCTCCAGCTGGTTTGGGGCAGACACTGCGCAACATGGGTCTTGGAGCAGGCACTATATACAGTGCAGTCTCAGCATTTGGCATTTGGGCTGGAGGGTCTGTGGGTCCCTTGCATACTAG